GTTCTCAGATGGTCAAAGTTCAACATGTGACATACCTGGAACTGGAGATAAGGATGAACGCAGCGTTGCCGACAAGGTAGATTAAGCACCATCTTTCCATGATTTCTGGCCTTTTTTTGTAACCGCTCGGGCTGTAACATAAACTCTCATGTTTCTGCAATTCTCTTTTTGCAACCCTGCTGGCTAGAAGAAGTACATATTGTAGATGCGCCAAAATGGCACGAATATTGTTATGGTGCCCACTGGAAAACCCGCGAATAAAACAAATGTGGAAGATATTGCGGAGGATCCCAGCAATGTACTAGATACTAAGCACGGGATGGACGTTACGGTAAGTTTGCGTGCTGGTTACACAGTGAGAACGCTAAACTCAACAGCCGTTATTCAGGCAAGAACCGAATTCCGACGAGGCCAAGAAAATGCGAGATCGTTTGTTTGATGCGCTCACAAAACCAGTGCAATTTGAGCACACTACAGCTTCTCACGAAGAGACTGCAGAACCCGAAAGCGGTGAAACTTCAACGGCAGGAGACAGAATTGCTGGTCCAGATAGAACGACAACGGAGGATAATTACCGCGATACGGTAACTCCACCACTAGGAATGGATCATATCACGTCAAGACCAGATGCTGTAAGATCAGGCTTAGTTTTCAACACATTCAATTCGGAGTTTTGCAGGGGAAATAGAACATCGACAAGGGCTCTCTTTCTCTTTGATTTGTTAAGTGAGGGTTGTCGCAAATTGGGGTTACTTCATGAATACGTGACTTTTTTTCCATTTCTACTGCATATAATGCACTACAGTATGACCTAAACAATAGTCGGGAAAGGCCGGGTCATTTTTGAAACGAGTAGAGCATGGGCCAGGATGTACGGAGCACAAATCAGCTTAGCATAATGGGATAAATTTGTAAATCTGCATAAGGGATACGGAAAACATGTTTCTAACAGAAAGGTCATCTAAATTGCATGTCTCATGACCAGCAAGTCCATCTCCTCATATATTCCCCGAAATTTAAACAGCGAAATGCGGCGACATGGCGTTCACCGGCGACTAGATCACGCCACGATTTATTTGACATACACCCGGTTGCCAGTTGTGGTGTGGGAGACTGTAGAGGAAGACGAAGGTGCTTATATCGACGGCGTTATTAATCTCGTCAAAAATTGGAGTCAACAAAGGAGATCTCACTACTTCAGGCTGTTCCCTTGCTTTTTTTATCGTTGCATCGCCTACCACCTCGACTTTCATTTCCGACGACGACTAATTTATCGTATCATCTGCCGTTGAACTCTTATGTACTTCGCACTTTAGAGCTTTCCATGTTGCAATGATGAACAATCCTTGATAAATTCGAGAACGGCGCATTCGTGAATGTTGTTCTTCAGTCATAAATCATGATGTGAAAGTAGTAACGGCCCGCTGTCTTATAGGCGTTAGTAAAGACTGCACAAAGGCCAGAATGAATAAATGCTCTCTCAGACACTTCAACAAGAAGGACACATCCGTGTGTATGTGATCAATTCAATCTCAGAATTTAAGAATTGGGTGAACCATGCCTACAAAGAATTTAGTCTATACGACTCTTCCCCAGTATTAAATACGTTTCTCCCTCACATCTGATGGTCGATTGTGCCCAATGGCATTAAGGAAACGGTCACGATAATTCCCATGGGGACGATAAGGAATGCTACGTAATGGAGTGGATAGGGGTCCTGCCCAATGTTAGAACACGTGAAGTTTCAGTGGCAGTGGCGCCTTATCAACGGAGTGATAAGGCGCCGAAATCCACTTCCGTTCAGCAAAAACAAGACTTATCGATGTGGAAAGGGGTGCGATAAGAGCGTGCTAGATATGATACCGTTATCGTTATCGTCCCGTTTTCATTCTGGAGTGCACCTCTTATCAAGCAGCCGCACCTTCTTATCTCATCGTATCATATCTTCCATGGGCTTACACTCGTCCAACAATTACTGCCTCACACCTTATCGATTGATAACGCGAGGGTAGCAAATCCAGCGTGGAAGCCAGCGTGATCGCTTCCTTTAACCCATAACGGACGGCCAGTGTATTTGTTGCGTGCGCCACCATGTGGCGCACGCCGTCCGTTATCGGTATCTTTGAACTTGGAACTGCGTGATAGACTCCAACTCCACCCTAAAACTCTTCCACACTTGAGTTTATGTGGGAACCTGGAGAAGGATAGGATACATATAACTGTTGAAACAGCGGGGCTGCTTGACAAAGGTGCACTCCAGAATGAAACGGGACGATAACGATAATGGTATCATATCAAGTATGCTGCCATGGAACCCCTTCCACATTGATACGGCTTTGTTTTTGCTACCCGGAAGTAGATTTCGGCGCCCTATCACACCGTTGATAAGGCCCCCTGCCACTGAAACACTACCTGTTCTATCATTGGGCAGCACCCCTATCTATTCCATTACGTAACATTCCGTATCGTCCCCATGGGAATTATCGTGACCACTTCCTTTAAGAGGACGGAATAACATTATTATTGTAAATCCTCTGGCCTGGCATCT